GCCCATCGTCAGAAAGGCCTACATATAGCATAGTTCTGCCTTAATTTCGGTAAATAGTTGTCAATGGGCGTAAATATAATTATCGGAGCTTCCGTATTCTTAGCCTAAATTACAAGACTGTTTATTGTTCCGCAGTTACTTGGAGACGCTTGCTACATATTATTTAGTGATACAGAATATTTTAAATTTTACAAATACAGTACAACCCCTCTATAACGCGGTTCGCTACACCGCGGTTCCGGATATAACGCGGGTACCTCATGTCCCTCATAGTGCAGCAAAAGAAAAAGAATTAAGTGCATCAATTATCAATGATCCTATCAATTTATTGCAATTGCAAAGTATCAAAACTTATGCAATAAAAAATCTCAAAATTTTAAACAGAAAACGATATCAGACTATTTTAAGAAACAAAATGTGTAAGATTTGTTCAAAACGTTTTTAGTATTTTCTTTTAGTGTTAGTGTATAATTTTAGTAGCGTAAAAAGTATTCAAAGTGTATAATTATCATACAAAATATGTATTATTGTATTGTATAAGAGTGCAGTGTAAAGCAAGTGACCTGAGAAAAATAGCGTGTACATAGTGTTTGTTTGTAAATAAAAAATACAGTACAGTAGTATAATATATTTTAGTACGGTATATTAAAATTCAAACCAAATTAATTATTTATTACTTTTTCCGTAAAAACCAATCGTAACATAGTCAAATAAGTATTTATACTCTTAAATGGCGATAGTCTATCAATACTGTACGTACCGTACTTGTACCGATTTTCCCGATGCACTCTCGTAATAACGCGGGTTTACCCCTGTCCCCCGCGACCCGCGTTATAGCGGGGTTGTACTGTACCACGTTCAGAAATCGAGTCTTTAAAATCTGATGCAGAGAAGATTGTGGGTTTGTGGGTACACAGTAGCTATTACGCCTATTTCACGACTGATGTCACCTCCTCACCTCCCACCTCACAAGTTCAACACTGGTTTGTAATAAAAACTCACGTAAGGAATAGCCTACTCTAATTTCATGAGAGATTTGAGGTTTTCACGGCGACAAATCTCTACAGGACAATGCTCATAATTCCATACCGTTGTTATCACTTGCTGAAATTAATTAACGTCGCAAAGAATTATAGAAAACATTTAAGGATGCGAAAGGAAGCGATCGTAGCCTATTTAAAAGCAATAACGCTGCATTCGCTTGAAAGACCTCGGGAAACATGCAATAAACCTTTGTGCCCGGAAATATTCAAACCCGATAGGTCTGTATGTCGAACACAAACATGTCTACGCTGTGGTAACCACTTAAAAGCATTTTGGGTACGGCCATAGACTGACAAATGATTTAGGAAATGCACAAAAATTGTTCCCGCATTACAAACATGTGCCGTATAACCTAAGGCCCGTTTCACACTGTCGACCGGTCACCGGCGACCAGTCGCTGAACGACCACCAGGTAGAAAAGCTAAGTACGAGCTTACACACGTGGGCGACCGCGACCAACAAGAAGTGAGCGACGCACAGGAGACCAACGGCCACGAGATACATAGATGGCAATCACGTGTTCACATTGCGGGCGACTCAGTCAGCGACCAGAGCTCAGAGAGGTGACATATCCATTGTTTCTTGTTTTCTCCCGTCTTGTTCATGTCACTCAAGTGATCAGTATATCATGCGTTTTGATACTGAAAGAATTATTTCGGCTGTAGAGTCACGATTATGCAAAAAGGGAGTTGAAAAAAAGTCAGTGGGAAGAGGTTGTGGAATTGTTTGACATTATAGTGATCTCCTCGACGTCCATACTGCTTGACTGCTTCTAAAGTATTTTTTTTACTGAGGCTGAGGCCTCTGTCTGCGCTGGTCGCCCTGCTGGTCTCCTTGTTTGGTCGTTGATGGTTTTGGTCGTTCAGTGTGAAACGGCCCTAAGCGTCTGTTTAATAAACCAAGAAGACGCATTATTGAAACCTTTTATTTTTAAGTTATGAATAATATAAATATCGTATATGAGCAGTTTTATGCAGGAATAAAGATATGATTACTCATTAGATTTGTCGTTTCACGTAGCAACTGCAAATGAAACAGTGGAGCTACGAAAACTATACTGAATTGCTTCTTACTTCCTACATCTTATTTAGTTAAAAGGATCATGCGATTTCAATTGTTAAAATCCTTCACTGACACGACCTTTGAATGTGCGTTTTTACTTGTTTCATAAAATAATGAATACGGAAGCGTTAATAGTTGTCAATAAAAACATAAATAGCCTTCAGTAAGAAATCGAACTGAATGAAGAACTACTTGCGAACGGATGATTTAACTTTTGAACATTTACTCAACTCAGTCAAGGATACGCTGGCAAGGAATACACAAAAATGCATCATGCAATTCTGCCACGCCCTTAGACTTGTAGCAAGTGGCCGGTATTATATAAATGTCTCAAGTTTTTGGTATGTTAACTTTATTCGCTCTCGAAAATAATGGCAAGAAGCCGACAACAACATATTTTACAAGGCTTTATACGGGGTGACAAAACAGAAATGTCGAGAGGTCGAATATATGTTAATAACGCAAATCTGTTTACTCACTTTCCGAGTTACGACATTTCGACATAAATCCTCATCAGCCCCTCTGGTATGGCATATTTAGTGTTTGATAACCCGAGTGAAACAAACTTTCTTCACTAAAACAAACTTTTCATGGTATTGATATTGCACATTGGTTTGAGCGCAGACACGCTCCTACATAACAGACGTATGTAACACAGTGTATTATTTGTTATATTAATTCTGACTTGTTCACAACGGCAGACATTCAAGTTATGTATCATCATTTCATTTATGAATAATTATCAACATTTTCCACTTGGTGAAATTCCTACGAATTGCTGTTTATGTAATCAACGCTTAACAGAATTTAAATACAATTTTCTAAACGTATCACAATTATCGGCACCTACAAACAGGAAAAATTAGAGTACGTCTGAGCGGAGAAATGACTCTGCCTTCAAAAAAGAAGTGCCCTGATTAATCGGTCGTGGCCTCTTGAGGTACTCCGAAATTTGGCTGGAAAGGCTGAAGAAAACACAGCAGATGTTACTTATGCTACGTTAATTCGTAGCATAAAGCCTCTCCTGAAACATTATATAACTGTTCGATGATTACGTATCAAGGCAAAGTTCGCTGCCATTAAACCCCATGTTGAGTAACATTAACTCTTTCACATGATCAGAAAATTTCGGTCCACTCCCATCACCAAATAAACACGTTGACATTGGAGCAAATAAAGTTAATGACTTAACAATAGAGAAAGCAAATAATATAATAGTTTTGATTCACTGTATTTGTCTGGAAATATTTACTGTGTCGGTTTCGACTGTTGTGCCATTTTCAGGTAATAAAATTAATTTTAGAAAGTGTTCTATTGTCTTGCTATTGTGTGTCTGCTTATAATAGGAAAAACTATTGACCTAGTAAGTGCTGTAAAGTGAAGCCGGTGGATTATTTATTTTATTGTTATTGTTCCACGCGTTGTTTAATGATAACATGAAAGGCTGTAAATTTTACAATTGTGACATTTCCATGACAAATGAGCGTCCAACACGTACAGAAACTGTTATTTTATATTTTTTAAAACAGTGTATTCTGTATTTACTTAAAATTATTGGAAACGAATATAAATGGCCTACTGTTTTATAATTACACATAAACAAATTTCTATGCTCATAAAATGTAAACCGTGTGTAGGTTCAAAACTGTTAGACACAAAACTTGGAA